GTCCAGATATAGGTCTAGGTCCAGATATAGGTCCAGGTCTAGATATAGGTCCAGGTCCAGATATAGGTCTAGGTCCAGATATAGGTCCAGGTCTAGATATAGGTCCAGGAGTATCTGAAAGACAAAAACATGTTAAGGATAGAAAAAATAATTACAAATACAAAACAGGTTGAGCAGAGCAAGTAAAGAAGCAGCAGAGAGAAAAGTGTGGTCAGTTTGTCCTCCAGCAGTCTAAGCCTATAGCAGCAGAACTAAGGGACAGCTCAGGAAACCCAAGCCGACCCTAACTATAGGATTTATCAAAAAGGAAAGTCTTCAAACTGGACAATGTGTCAGTCTCATGGACAGAGACTGGAAGTTGGTTCCACAAGAGAGGAGCCTGAGAACTGAAAGATCTTCCTCCCATTCTGCTGCTGGAAGCTCTAGGAACCACAAGTAAACCTGCAGTCTGAGAGTGAAGTGCTCTGTTAGTAAATTCAAAAAGTGTTCAATACAAAAACAACTGGACCTTATTTGTAATAGAAGTTAGGGTTAGGGTAATAGAAGACGTTTCGCTCCTCATCCGAGGAGCTTCCTCAATTCAAAGAGCAGAGAGAGAGGACAGCCTCAACATTGAAGTTTACAGAAAACCAACCCACACAGACCAGTATCTTCTGTTTGACTCCCACCATCCACTGGAACACAAACTCTCTGTCATCAGAACTTTACAACATCGGGCCGAACGCGTCCCCACGAAGACAGAAGGGAAGGAAAAGGGACAGAAACACGTTCAAGAAGCTCTTCAAACATGTGGATATCCTAACTGGGCTTTTGTCAAGTCAGAGAGGAAATCTACAAAACACACTAATAAACAGAAAAAGGAGAAGAACAGACGTAAAAACATTGTCATCCCTTATGTTGCTGGAGTATCAGAGAAATTCAGAAGGATCTTCAACAAACACAAGATCCCAGTACATTTCAAACCCAGCAAGACTCTCAGACAGAGACTGGTCCACCCTAAGGACAAGACACCCATACACAAACAGAGTGGTGTAGTGTATGCGGTCCAGTGCAGCGAGGACTGTCCAGACCTCTACATTGGAGAAACTAAACAGCCTCTTCACAGATGCATGACTCAACACAGGAGAGCCACCTCCTCTGGACAAGATTCAGCTGTTCACCTCCACCTCACAGATAAGGAACACTCTTCTGAGGACCAGAATGTGCACATTTTGGACCGAGAACACAGATGGTTTGAGAGGGGGGTGAAGGAAGCAATTTATGTAAAAAGAGAAAAGCCGTCTCTTAACAGAGGAGGAGCCTCAGATTCCCACTTTCTAAAACCTATAATGCAACTTTAAAACAGATTCCCAGCCGGTTTTCACACCTGATGGGAACAGAGGGGCCTCGACTGTGAATTAGAGGAACAAAGACTTTAAGAAAGACCTACTGTTAAGGTGTTGAGGTGTGACTTGTCAAATCTACATGTGTGTGTGTCTTATCTCACTCAGCCTCTGAACCTGAACCTGAACCTCTCACTCTCTGCTCTTTGAATTGAGGAAGCTCCTCGGATGAGGAGAGAAACGTCTTCTGTTACAAATAAAGTCCAGTTGTTTTTGTATTGAACGCTTTTTGAATTCATCATGTCCTGGATGACTGAGAATCTTCACCAGCACTCTGTTAGTAAAATATGTAACAATAAGATCCATAATATAAAATGGAGCTAGGTTGTTGAGAGCTTTGTAGGTTAGAAGTAAGATTTTGAATTCTATTCTGGATTTGACAGGGAGCCAATGGAGAGAAGCTAAAACTGGAGAGATATGATCTCTCCCAGTAACTCCAGTTAAGACTGGCAGCAGCATTTTGGATCAACTGAAGACGTTTTAAAGAAGTATTTGGACACCCAGATAATAAACCATTGCAATAGTCCAGTCTAGACTTGACAAATGCATGGACCAGTTTTTCTGCATCATCTTTAGATCAGATGTTTCTAATGTTAGTGATATTACGCAGGTGGAAGAAGGAGGTTCTAGTAACGTTTTTAATGTGGGGGATAAAAGACATGTCCTGATCAAAAATAACACCAAGATTTTTAACATTAGAGCTGGAGGACAGATTAATGCATCTAAGGAGGGAGAAAGACTGAAAAGTCTTATAAACACCTTCTCTTAGTGGGTCAACCAGTTTGATGGTGCTGGATGTCTTCTTTCTTCGTGTCTCCTGCAGATGGGGACTGGACTGTGGTCACCTGACGGGTTCCTGGAGCGCTCGGTGTTGTGGGTGAGCCAGGTGTGGCAGCAGCTCAACGCCTGTCTGACCCGTCTGGGGACCCACGAGGCTTTGCTGGGCCCACAGCTCTTCCTGTCCTGCCCTGTGGTCCCCAACAACACACAGGCTATAGTCAGGTGTGTGTCCTTTTACCAGTTTTACAAAATAAAACCAAACGGTTCTTTTGAATCTGATGGCAGCAACAGCTCAGAAAAGTTGGGACGAGGACAACAAAAGTGTGTAAAAGTCAACGGTGCAAAGAAAAACAGCTGGAGGAGCATTTCACAGGTCAGTCAGATATAAAACGACTTCAGAGGCTGAAGCAGGTAGAAGTAAAGATGGGCAGATGTTTACCAGTCTGAGAACATGTCTTAAATACTGGAACAACTTCAAAATAAAGTTCCTCAATTGAAAAATTGAAAAACTTTGAATCTCCATCGTCTGCAGGTCATAATCTGTCCTAATCTGATCAACAGATTAGAAGAATCCAGAAAGCTCTGAGATCAAAGGACAAGGCTGAAGGTCAGAACTGGATGGAGGTGATCCTTGGGCCCTCAGGGGCCACTGCATTAAACCAGGTCTGGTTCTGGTTCTGGACCTCACTGCATTAAACCAGGTCTGGTTCTGGTTCTGTTGTGGACTCAGGAACACTTCCACAGATCCTCATCTTTAAATACAGTTCATACACAGATGCTGCTTAAAGCTCTATCAGGCAGAGAAGAAGCCAGATGTGAACCTCGTCCAGAACTGAGGTCAGACGGGTCAAAAGTATAACTTCTTTTTGGACACAATGAACATCACGTCCTCCATGATAAAGAGGAGATGGACCATCCAGCCTGTTCTCAGCTCACAGTTTAAAGCCTGCCTCTCTGATGGTATGGGGGTGCATTAGTTACTCTGGCATGTGCAGCTCACACATCTGGAAAGACTCAACCAGTTCAGAAAGACATGCACAGACATGTTCTCATCCAACCAATGTCTTTTTCTGGGAAGTCCTTTTTTAATTAGGCAAGACAAGTTAAAGCACGGGGCAGCACGGTGGCACAACTGGTAGAGCTGCTGCCTCTCAGCGAGCAGGTCCCCGGTTCAAATCCCGGTCCAGAGGCCTTTCTGTGTGGAGTTTGCATGTTCTCTTTGTGCTGCGTGGGTTTTCTCCGGGTACTCCAGTTTCCCCACACAGACCAAAAACATGCATGTTAGACTGATTGGTAACTCTAAATTGTCCCTAGGTGTGAGTGAGAGACTGAATGGTTGTTTGTCTCGTTTGTCTCTATGTGTCCCTGTGATGGACTGGAGACCTGTCCAGGGTGTCCCCCGCCCCTCGCACAGTGATTGATGGACATGGGCACCAGCGACCCCCGTGACCCAAAATGGAAGAAGCGGGTAAAGATAATGGATGGATGGATGGATGGATGGATGGATGGATGGATGGAAGTTAAAGCGCAGACTGGGTCCATTACAGCAGCACGGCTTTGAAGCAGAAGAGTCCAGAACCTGAACTGACCTTCCTGCAGTCCAGACCTCACACCTACTGGAAACATTTGACACACTGTAAAACAAAATATCCAGTAACGACTCACAACCACTGACCTGCTAGAATCCTCCATTTGTCAAAGGGTCAGGGTTTGTGGATTCAGAATCAGCCACACAACCGACTAACAGATGAGGTCAGGCAGGAATCCCCGTGGACTATGATGTTTGCAGATGACATCATGATCTGTTGTGAGAACAGGGAGCAGGTGGAAGAGAACTTGGAGAGGTGGAGGTATGCACTTGAAAGAAGAGGAATGAAAGTCAGTCGTAGTAAGACAGAGTCCATGTGTGTGAATGAGAGGGAGGAGGTGGAACAGTGAGGCTACAAGGAGCAGAGGTCACAAAGGTGCAGGACTTCAAGGACTTGGGGTCCACTGTCCAGGAACATGGGGAGTGTGGTAAAGAGGAGAAGAAGAGAGTCCAGGCAGGATGGAGTGATGGAGAAAAGTTTCAGGAGTGATTTGTGACAAAAGGGTGCCAGCAAAGATCAAAGGTGAGACCAGCTATGTTGTATGGTCTAGAGACAGAGACGTGGACAAAAAGACAGGAGACAGAACTGGAAGTGGCAGAAATGAAGATGTTGAGGTTCTCCTTAGGAGAGACAAGGATGGAGAAGATTAGAAATGACATCATCAGAGGTACAGCACAGGTTGAACAACTGGGAGATAAAGTTAGAGAGGACACACTGAGATGGTTTGGACATGTCCAGAGGAGGGACAGTGGTTTGGACATGTCCAGATGAGGGACAGTGGGTATATTGGTAGAAGGATGTTAGAAATGCAGCTGCAGGAAAAAGACAAAGAGGAGACATGTGGATGCAGTTAGAGAGGACATGGAGGTAGTTGGAGTGAGGGCAGAGGACATGGAGGTAGTTGGAGTGAAGACAGAGGACGGAGAGAGATGGAGGAGGACTCGCTGTGGAGACCCTGAAGAGGAAAAGGCCAAAAGAAGAAGAAGAATCAGCCAGACAACAAGAGTGAAAAAATCAAAAACTTCCTTATTGATATAAAGCTGCTGGAGGTAGTCAGGATCCAACTGCGGTGACGAGTCCTCGCAGGAGGGAGAGAGCCACCTGTCAGAGCTTCTCAAGCAGGCGAGGTGGGACCAGCTGCTGGATCTGGGCAGGACGTCACCGTCACTGAGTGAGACGCAGCTGCAAGGCAGAGCTGAGGAGAGTTTGGTCGGAGCAGAAATCCAAGAACAAGGTCCAGAACACAGGCGGGGGTCCTACACAGGGACTCAGAGTTCCAATAACAAGTCCAAAGGGTCAAACCAGAATCCATAGTCAGAAGAAGTAGTCAAGAACCAGGGTCAGATGGGCAGAACCAAACCATATGAGGAACAGGCAGAATGATAAATCTACAAGACAGACGTGAGGTTGAGATGAGATGATCAAAACAAGACGTGAGCATGATCAAGAATGGTTGGATATCAGGAACCAAGAATGGTCCAATAATCTGGCAGTGAACTAGCATGAATGTGGATCTTAAATAGTGAGGGGAACAGGTGTAGTGCTGAAACTGCCGAGGGGGCGTGGCAGAGTGACGGAGAAGCAGGAACAGGACATGGAGAGCTGTGAGCAAGGCAGGGGACAGGACGTGATCATGACACCATCATGACACCATCAGACCAAAATGGGACAACATTCTCTCCTAAACCTCCAACAACTGGTCTCCTCAGGTCCTTCTAAACCTCCAACAGCTGTTATTGTCAGGTCCTGGATGTTCAGACATTTGATTTGTTTGTGATGTTCTACTGGGAATAAATTATTAGTTTATAAACTTGTTCTGTATAAACATTTGACCGAGTGGAGTGGGGTTACTTTTTTGAGACTTTAAAGTTGTTTAAATTTGGTCCCAAATTTTTATCATGGGTGACGCTGATATGTACCTCCCCCATGGCGACGGTCTGCACCAACTGTAACACATCTTCCTGTTTTAAACTGCAGCGGGGAACGTGACGGGTGCCCACTCTCACCACTTCTGTTTGCTTTGTCAATAGAACCATTAGCTTTAGCTTTAAGGCTGAACTCCATCATTAAGGAGAATAATCGACTAGGCACAGAACACAAAGTCTCTTTATATGAAGACGACATGCTTTTATAAATATCAGATCCCCTTACCAGTGTCTCTGAGTTACTTAACTTGCTTGAAAAATCCAGAAGATTATCTGGTTATAAGGTTAACCTTGAAAAGAGCGAGCTGATGCCTGTGACCTCTATAGAAAAGAAAATCTTGGACACTGTTGCAATTAAAAAACAAGTTTTAAAAACTTTAAATACCTTGGGATCTGGGTAACTCTATAAAACCAATGATCTGCCTCTCATGATGAACCTTAAACAGGACCTTTCTAGATGCAGTCCCTGCCTCACACCCTGGGGGGCAGAATAAACTCAGTAAAAATGAATATACTAACTAAATGTTTATATTTGTTTCAGAATCTGCCAATCTTCCTTACTAAACCCTTCTTTATCAATTTGAACAGCCAGATATCAGCATTTATTTGGAATAACAAGCACCCATGGATTGATAGGAGGGTCCTGCATCTGCCCCACAGACTTGGAGGCATGTCACTTCCTAACTTCATGCACTTATTGTGCAGCTCATATCAGAGCTCTTTCACTCTGGATGGGTAAGGACATCCCTTCTCCCAGTTGGGTGGCCTTGGAAAAGGCTTCACTTAGATCCAGCTCCCCCTCTGCATTACTCTGCTTTTGGCTGCCTTTAAACATCAGTATCAACCTACACTTCTGACCCAACTGTGACCTGGACAGTTGAGATCTGGAATCAGTTCAGGAGGGCATTTAGCTCTACACAGTTACTGTTTTTGGCTCCTGTGTCAAATCATATGTTCACTTCCTCAGTAGCTGATACAGCTTTTGACAGCTGGGTCTTGACGGGAGTGCATTCACTGTGTGATCTCTGTTCATAGATTTGCCTCTTTTGAGCAGCTGGTACAGAAGCTTAATGTTCACAAGTCACAGTTTTTTAGATATCTGCAGCTGAGACATTTTGTGAGATCTAACTCTGTTTTCCTTTGTACCCCTCTAAACATTTTGTGGCTAAGATTTTAGAGTGCAGGTATGGCACCAAGGGGACCCTCGGTAAAATATATACACTGCTCAGTTCATACCATGAGTCCAGCTTGGACTCCCTTAAGCTGAAATGGGAAACGGACTTGGAGGAATCCACATCAGACCCATTCTGGAGAAGGATCATTAAGAACATTTACTCATCTTCAATCTGTCTGAGACATGCTGTACTTCAAGGTGGTGCACAGGCTGCACTGGTCCAAAGACAAGCTGTTCAAGATCAAGGCCAACCTGGACCCTGCATGCAACTGTTGTAAATAAACTCCAGCTACACTCCTGCATATACTGGACTTGTACCAAACTGCAGACTTTTTGGCAAGCTATATTTGACACCTTCTCTGGAATATGTGACAAATCTGTTCACCCATCACCACTCATGTCACTGTTCAGGGTGGTCCCTGTGGATACGTCCTTCAGCAGGAGTGAGAAGGATGTGATTGTCTTTGGCTCTCTCTTGGCCTGGAGGTTGATTTTGTGAAACTGGAAGGACCCACACCCCCCAACATATGTACGTTAGATAAGAGAGGTGATGTACCGCATTCATGTAGAAAGAATAAGACATACGCCGAAGGGTTCTGTAAAAGGATTCTGGGACACATGGCAGCCCTTTGTGTTATATGTGGAGAACTTGTCAGTACCAGTTTGATTTATTTTTGTTTATGTATATGTGACGGATCTGGTGGGGGAGGGGTTTAGTTCTTGTTCTGGCAGTTTGTTTTTTGTGTTATTCAAAATGCTAAAATCAATAAAAAGACCTTGTTTAAAAAATAACTTGTTCTGCTGGCGGATCATCTGATATTTCTGCTGACCTAACATTGTAATGGGAGACTGACCATGACGTAAACATGTTTACATGAACTGCTATGAAACATTTGTTGTTGTTTTTTATCGGTAAAATCAGCGTTAGAAGCCGGTCCTTGTGGACCGTAATGATGATGTCATAACTGCTCGTCTTGTTTTCTGGTTCATGAGTCTGACCATGACTGTGTGTTGCGTTCACCCCAGGTGGCTGGCCCGACTCTGGAACACTGCAGTCGTCCCCCGTGTGGAAGAGGCAGTTATCTCCCAGGTAACAGCCAAGCACTCTTCCTCCTCATCCTCTTCCTCGCAGCAACTGTCTCCTAGCAGCCGTGGTCTAAGTGCCGGACAGCAGGCTGTGGTGAAAGCCGCCCTCAGCATCCTGGTCAACAAGGCTGTTCTCCCGGGCTGCCCCCTCCCTCGACACGGTGAGTGGGCGTCTCGGACCCTGATTCGATCCTGTTGCTCTGAAAGTGAGATGGTCGAAGGAAAACATGGATGAAACGTTGCCGTTTTTGTGTCCGACCCTCAGAAATGGACAGGCACCTGCTGGAGTTCCAGGGAAGTTCTTTCCCTCTGTCGGCCCTCGGGTCCTACACAGGAAGTGGCAGCAGGGGAGGGAGGAGGGCGCGGGACAGCGGGAAGCTGAGACGGTCCAACACCAGCCCTCGAAAGAAAGGAAGCGTGTCCCTGACGTGGAGCTGCAGCGGTTCCTTCAGAGAGGGTGAGAGCACCTCCTCCTCAAAGCCGGCACGCGAACCTTCTCACTTCGCTGAAGAGCTGATAGTATTATTTTCATTCATTCAACCTTTAGTTAAACAGATAAGTCACATTGAGCCTCAAAGACTCATTTACAAGTGAGTGTATCAAAGGTGTATCTCAGTCTATTGTCTGTGTAATAAATGCACTTTAATGGTCAAACCAGCTGCATTTCGTCAGGGCGGTGCAGCTGGTTTGACGGTTCCAAGCAGAGAGCAGAATGAAGGTGGGGAGTCTATGGCAGGCCGACTGTGTCATTAATAGTGTAATAATGGTGAAGATTCGCAGTTATCCAGGACATGGTAAATTGAAAAAAGTTCAAGAAAAAAAACAAGAAAGTATAAAACAACAAAGTCCACGCTCAATAATCCAGGTATAAAATCCAACATTTTTCAGTCAGGTCATCTGGACAGTTTCTTTTTTTGTGCTGAAAAGAAAGTGTAAAGTATAATTAAGTGTTCTGATTCTGATAGCCACGTTTACCTACTACATGATACAACAGCATGCCTTACTGCTACTACTACTCTGCTGCCCCCAAGTGGCTGAAAGTGGTACTGCTCTTTTTCTTCAGTCAGAATGAATGGAAACGTCATATCTCAGCCAACAAATGGTTTGTAAATATGGGAAAAAAATCTATAAATATGTCGCTTCGGCTTCATTCTCTGTTCAGTTCCCGTCCAAAAACTACATTTGCTCTTCTTATCCCTCAGCGATGGGGACATGGGCATTGTTAATAATTATTGTTTATTGTTTGGGGTGGGGGGTTCAGGGCTGTAGCGTTGGATGTTTCCTGTCAGAGGCTCTGCAGACACTGTGACCAAACTGACCCAGCTTCAAGACGCCATGACGACTCTGTGACCGACTGAAGAGAAACCAGGAGACAATGAGAAGCCGGTGGACGTTTGGAGACGTTCCTGAGGCCTCCTCATGAATACCGTTCACCAGCTAGTTGCCAACATTCGCAGTGAGATGTTCAGGTTCAGGCGTCTGCAGCTTTACAAGTCGTGTCCTCACAGGGGACAAAAGGAGGTGAACACTTGAGTCCAGGGCCCCTCTGCTTTGGAGCTGACAGATGATAAAACATTCACTGCTGTAGAAACATTTAGCCCAAATCTACGGATGTGCTGACAAAAACAGGCTCAGAACTCAACCAAATAAAAATGATGAAGACCTTAGAGGCCTGTAAAATGTCTCACAGTGAACTCTGGGGGCTTCTAATGGGCCATACTGGATATATTTATGGTTCCATTTGTTTTAGAGCAGAAACTGTGGAAAAGATACATCTATTACTTTCAGGAAATAAAACGGCTTAAAGTGTAACTTGTCAAATTCCCATATTTGTGCTCTTTGTATGGACAATGTCCACAAGGAGGCTCTGTGGGCTCTAACAGCGCTGCTCAGTGTGGACCTCTGCAGACATGGACCTGAGTGAAGCTGAGCTTAGATCATCTGTAGTTGGACTGAAGTCGATGCACAGACCATGTCTCTGGAGTTCATCCAAACAGCCTGAAGTGAGACCGTTTGTCCCTCTGCCTTTTTTAATAAAGTTGTTTTTGATTTCAGGTTCCCTGTCCAGCTCAGACATCAGCATCAGTCCCATCAGACGCAGGTGGGTGGCTTTCTTAAGCAGGTCTGCTTCAATTCACCCATTAGAGCGATGAGTTGGTGTTAGTGGTCCCACCAAGCTGCTGCTCGACACAGGAAGTCGCCCTCTGTTCAGATAACATCAGACGCTCCGTCCGAGCCATGAAGTACACAACTGTAACTAGAAAGTTCCTGGAGAAACTTTGACGGGGACTGCCAGGCTGCTGCCAATTTAACCTTTTGATTTGACAGGACTATGTGTTGGGGTTCATCTCAGCTCCCACTTCACCAAATTTCAGTTCAAAATGACCAAAAATCAACGAGTTATAGTCATTTTTTTCTTGTAAGCTATGGTGACCATCTTGGATTTTTTTTGTTTGTATTTAGCATGTGATAGGGAACGTTCTCATCATCACCACACCCAATTTTAGCTCAATGTCTCTAAAATGATTTATAGTATTTTTCCTTTTTATCTCAGGCGGCCATCTTGGATTTTTGATTTGCATTAGGAATGTATGAAAACTCACTCTCAGCTACGACCAGAGCAAATTTCAGCTCAATATCTCAGACTCACTGACTTGTGGCAGTTAGAAGCTGTTGAGTTCTGTCCGGCATTTTGAATGAGAAAAATGGCGTCTTTGTTTGCAAATTACGTCGTCATGGTAACTCAAAACACCAGTAAAAGTAACAGCACACATCACGGTGCTGAGCCGGTCATTTTAATATAACGTCTGTGGGGGACACGTTGAAGTTCAGGCCACATTAAAGTTGATGGAAGAGTAAGATATAAAGTTAAACCCCTTGTCAGGTGGATAATAAGAATAGGTGCTGCCTTACTGGGCAGTCCCCATTGAAAGGCCCAACATTACCTGAAGGAATGCACAACACCCGCCGCCTTGAGAAGCACACTTTTCCATGTCTCGGATTATTTTGTGATGTTGGAGCCATTTTGACCAAACCTTGGAACGTGGAGACACGTTCCTGCTACGTCTGCTGCAAACAGTGGCGGTCTCTTTTTCAGGGGGAGGACTTATCAGGATGTCTTCCCCGTGTGTTCTCTTCAGTACAAAAAGTCTGACTCAAATCACGTGAGATCTGCCATCTTCCATGTTGTTGATGTGTAACCAGGCCTTAAAGCTGGCGCTCAGGGATGAAGAGGAACAAAGTGCCCCCCGCTCCCTGCCCGATACACCCAGGTGGCTTTTTAAGGAACATTTAATGGTTGAGAGGTGATGACCTGTGTCTGGTTCACATACAAAGCTGGTTATCATCAGTTGTCATAGTAACAGACTCAGGTCAGACGTGAACTGGCTTCATGAGACAAAACATCCCAAACTGAACAGAGACACTCAACCTGCCTCGTAGTTCTGCCCTCTGGTCCCAGAGTGAAGCTCTGCTCCTGCAGGGCTGTGGTGCTGAGGATGGGACAGGACAGGTTTACTCTGATGACACACACTGAATGAGCTGGGATGCTAACATTAACCCTTTGTCTGCAGGGAGCCTGCAGGTCTGCCGGTCTTCTCTGACGATGAGACAGATCTGATCAGGGAGCTGCAGACCATGTGCTCCAGCAGGTCTGAGCCGGACATCAGTAAGGTACTGTCCTCTGACATTAGTACTGTCCTCTGACATCAGTAAGGTAC